CATTATGGACTGCCGCCTCCACAACACTATATGGCTGCTACTGCGTACCACCAGTACCAACATCACCACCATCTCCCGCATGTACAGCAGCAGCAGCAAAGAGAAGGATCCAGTGGAGATAATAAAACTATATGGATTGGTGACTTGCATCACTGGATGGATGAAAATTATTTACATACCTGCTTTGCTTCTACTGGCGAGGTATGGATATGAAATATTTTTTTTTCCCGTAAATATATATATCAAAATTCATTTTTATTTTTTTTTAAATGCGCATGTTAGATGATTATTTTCATTAATTTCAATATTGTTTGAGGAATACAAAGAAGAAATCGTTGTGTTAAATATACCTGAAAGTTTGAAGAGCATGTAGGGAATGGCTTGCAAAGCGTTGTGGCGTTTTGTAACTTAAGAAATTGTTTGAAAATGATATTCTAACACTAACCAATAAGAATCACTGAATCGTGGATCCATGCACAGAATATTGATGATGATAGAATTTGTGGTGTCGAAATAACGTATTTGTAAGATAACTATTGAAGGCATAAACTCTGCTACTTAAATTTGATAACATGCATTTAGCTTATACAAGGAGCTAGCGCTTTTAACGTGGATATTCTTATTGTAATTGTTAATATAATGCAATGCATTACTGTACTGGTAGGCAAAGGAATGGTTGTTCTTTATAATTTTAATGAAAGAAATTGTTTTTGGAGTTTGGTGACTGTGCTCTTTCGTGTCTGACAACCAGTGTTGTATATTGACAGATTGCTTCTATAAAGGTTATTCGCAGTAAGCAGACAGGTTTGTCCGAGGGCTATGGGTTTGTGGAATTTTTTACACATGCCACAGCTGAGAAAGTTCTACAGAACTATGGTGGCATTCTGATGCCTAACACAGAACAGCCTTTCCGCCTCAATTGGGCAACATTTAGCACGGGTGACAAGCGATCAGATAATACTCCTGATCTTTCTATTTTTGTAGGAGACTTAGCTGCAGATGTTACTGATAGTTTATTGCAAGAAACTTTTGCGACCAAATATCAATCTGTTAAATCTGCAAAAGTTGTATTTGATGCCAATACTGGTCGTTCAAAAGGTTATGGTTTTGTGAGGTTTGGAGATGATACTGAAAGAACGCAGGCAATGACGGAAATGAATGGTATATATTGTTCGAGCAGGCCTATGCGTATTGGTGCTGCAACCCCCAGGAAGTCCTCTGGATATCAGCAACAAGGTATTAGATTACTGTTCTTTCTTTGAATCTTTATCATATTGAACTCTTCTTGTCTTATTTTTAGGCGGATATGGATCAAATGGTGCTTCTTCCCAAGGCTTCCAATCGGATGGCGATTCCAGCAATGCAACAGTGAGATTTCCAGCTTCTTTGTGCAGTTTTAATCTTTAGGATGCCCATGTTTTTTCTTTGAATAGACTATGTTACCGTGTAGATATTTGTTGGAGGGCTTGATCCTAATGTCAATGATGAAGATCTCAAGCAGCCTTTCTCTCAGTATGGTGAGATAGTGTCCGTTAAAATACCAGTCAGTAAAGGATGTGGGTTTGTACAATTTGCCAACAGGTAAAATTTTGTGGCTGTAACACTGCTTTGCCTTAACAATATGTGAATAATAAAGTATTGGTTGGATATTCCTTCATTACAGAGTTACTACATGATTCTCTATCTAACTTCAATTGTCAGGAATAATGCGGAAGAAGCATTGCAGAAGTTGAATGGAACAGTAATTGGCAAGCAAACTGTGCGTCTTTCTTGGGGTCGCAATCCAGGAAATAAGCAGGTACTGATTCTCCCTCCCTTTCTATCCACAGCCACCTTACATCATATCTTTCTTTCATTACCTTACCGGATAGGATGTGTTTAGAATAAATACGATCTCTTTTTGGAAAAAAAGAAAAAAGAGTCCTCGGTATAGAGTTCAAGTGTAATTAGCTTGCTCAGAACTGTTTTTATTTTTATGTTTGGTAGGATAGCCGTTTATTTATATCTGAAGGATGTTTTGACATACTTTGTAAGAAAGTGTTGACTGCTATTGAAATTGTAGTCTTATCAAAACTGAGAATCTTTGCAACTTTCTCTGAAGTCATATTCTATACTACATGTCCAAATCAACTATTGTTAGAAATCATCTGTTTAATGAGTTCATATTCTGTTTAAAGCTCTCTCTCTCTTTTTTTTCTGCCCTTTTGTTTTTTGGTATTCAAGCTTGTTTATTGTGCTGGTATTGTTGGGATTTGGCAGCATAGAGCAGATTTCAGCAGTCCCTGGAATGGGGCATACTATGGAGGGCAGGTTTATGATGGTTATGGATATGCTCTGCCACCACCTCATGATCCAAGCACGTATGCTGCGGCATATGGGGCTTACCCTATGTATGGCAACCACCAACAGCAAGTAAGCTGAGTGAATTGTACCCGAAAGATCATGATGTAGCTCTGGTAATCAGTATTAATCATGCTAGAATGGGAAGTTTGTTTCATTTCTCTTCAACTCCATCGGTTCTGTAAAATTCTTATAAATCTCTACAATTTGTGGAGTGGAACTGAATTTTGATGACTTGAGGTAGCTTTATAGGGATTTAATTTATCATTTGTTTAGGATTATAGTAGTTGAAGAAAAACTATCGATTGGAATAGATTGTTTTGCAGAATGCTGTCTGAATAAAGTTGTGCTCCAGAGCGTGAGTCTGCCGAACTCTTTTCTCAATCTGCTCTGATATGAGTTAATTACCTTAGTTTGTCCAATATTTATTCGAGTAGGATAAATGTTTGCAGAGGTGCTTGATACTTTCTTGCTATAATATCAATTCATTTGAAGTGTTCGCGAGGATGACTAAAATCTGTGGTTTCATTTCTTAAAAGGATCTAGGGGTGTCTTAATGTTCGAGCGACATCTCTCTCTTCTTAAAGGGGTGGAATGTGATCTCAGAAATGCACATGCCTGGCAATTGTTCTTAGTTGTTAAGCCTTGATTTTCCATTTTGAAGCGTTCTCCGAGGGGAAAACATACACCGAGCACTTGGCCTTAGTACTACTAACCAGTTTAATTTACCAGATGACTCGATGCTTTTGATTGAATAGGTTTGAATGCAACAGAATGTAATATTATTATTTTTTTCTTATTCAGTAAATGATATTGTCAATCACGTGCTCCCGTCCCCAGCAGTTCAGCTCTTCATCCGTTTATTGTCGATGCAATAGAAAGACAGTTAGGGTACGGTTTTTTTTACGAGGAAAACTTTTTTATATATAAAAAAATGAGTTATTTTTAATTGTTTGACCGTATTAAGCTTGTAAAATTAAATATTTTTTTATTTTTTAATATTAATAGGAAAAAGAAATTGTGATGTTAGTGATAAAAGTAATGATAATAATTATATTGATAGTGTTAATTATTGTGCAGATAAAGAAAAATTGAAAACTATGCTCATCTATCATATTCATTTTAATTTATTTTTTTACAATGAAAAATTGAAAACCATGTTTATTTGTTTAAAATTCGAAGAATTTTTCTACTGATAAAAACCAAAAGAAAAAAGTTCAAGATAATAGCTACTATAAAAAAATCGAAAACATAATTTATAATATCACCTTAACCTTTTGTGTTTAACTATAAAAATATTACTTTTATATTATTTAAATTAAGAACTATCATAAAAGAGTTCCACTTAAATTAAAAAGATATTATTTTATATTATACTTAATTTTATAAAAGAAATATGAAATTAATGAAATGCAAAAAGAGAAGCGGTGGCATGATAACGGTGATAAGTAGATAAGCGACCAGAGGCCAGCAACCTGAAGGGCCTTAATGGCATCTGAATCAACACAATTCCATGCTGTCGGCGATCTAAAAAATAGAAGCATGAACCTCCCCATACGGCACGTGATGCCCAGATACGATGATGTCTAGACCTTTTATCCCAAGTGGTCTTACTGTTACAAGTCAATATCATTGACGGTGGTAATCAGTGTTAGTGGACCCCAGAAGCAATCACGATGCGAGGTTCCTTCCAATCGTCCATTCGGGCCCAGAGGTCAGTTCCAGCAAGAGCTGGTCTCGTGGTGCGCTAGGGTTTGGCCCTTCTTCAATCTCCGCATTAGGTCGTGTTAGATTCTCTATGATGATTTTTTTTATTTGAATGGTTGTGCTTTTGTATTTTAATCATAGTACATATACTTGTAAAGCTTGATAAATCAAATATTCTCATTAGCATTTATTATGAATCAATTACTAACTTGACAATTATCTTCAATACAAATTGGTCTATATGTTGGAAATTAATAACTTTGTTTCTACATTTCTCAGCATTTTGGTTTCCCATCAAGAATTAAAAAAATAAAATGACAATTAATGTAAATAATTTAAGATTAAACTAATTAATTAATGGATTGAGTTTACATTTATGTTATTTATTAGTTATGGGTTAATTTTTGAGCATCTGTTTTAAACCCGAACTAATGAATAAGATAAATATAAATTTTTATGTTTTGCACATGATAATTAATAGAAGTACGAAAATGATGAAAGGCCATAAGATCACCGTCATTTTAATTTATGTTTTGCACATGATTCATTTATAATAAAGATAAATGTTATGTTAATCGATTTGTAATGAAAGCTAGCATAAATATTTCATCGATCACAATTTGTAATTTTAAATACTTTGAACATGGATGAACTGATTATCAACTGTGATTGCTCGATTATTCAGTTTTAATTTGGATAAATTTGATTTAGTTTTTAAGTGATTGAGTATTTAAAAATAAAACCCAATTGATTCAAGATGCTATTTATTTTTTTTATTGAAAGAATATTGTTAGAAATTAATTAATTAATTTTATGATTTCTATTTCTTTGAACACGTTTTTTAATGTGTAGAAAAGAATTCCGTGATTTATATTCATCGTATTAAGGAATTACATCGACCAAGTACATACCGTACGTGTGGTATCGTTATTCGAAGACTTGTAATTAAGATGTAAACAATGGAGAATTATTGACTCCAAACTCATATTTTTATTCCTCTCTCCAAATTTATTCGGATCCAATTAAATGAAATAATAAAATTGATTCTGAAAAGCGTATTTAATCTCGTAATTAATTTAAGAGTAACAATATTCAACTTCATTTCGGATGAGCATCTCTTCCAAGTGGTGACCTGACTGAACGAAGCTGTTTCTGGTGTGAAAGTCGTTCAGCAAACCTACAAAAACCAGAGGAAAATCAAATTAAATAACTGAAGGCATAAGGTGCTATTAATTATACGCTGAGAACAGATTTGTACTTTATGAGAGCCTCTTCATTTGTCAACCTATTAGCAGGCTCAAAGACACCGGTATCCAGATTCACACTTGATACTGGTTTCTTCAACAATCCTTCGCCCACTTTCACAAGATTTTCTAAATTTTCTTTGGTGGCAATATCCACGGATGCAAGTGTTCCAGTCAATGTATCGTCCTGCATTTTTAGCACAAGTATACATTACTTCATTACACAAGTCAATATATACATGTATATATATATGAACTTGAAATATACCTGAATTCGGAGATAATTTTTTTCAGAACGGAGGGCTTGAAAAACAGTTGCAAGATGAAGGTCAACCATGTCACTGCTGGCTTGAGTAAAAACATCCACCAATGGAGTAGAATTGTCACTAGTCAACCATCCCAAAACACCCCACTTTGCTGCCTTATTTGCATCGTACTTTTCTTCTGTTTTTGCTGTACCAGTCCCAAGAGACAGTACTAGGTATCGCCCATAGTCCGTGGGCTTCATGGGGAAGAAGTCAGGGCTGTCCCGATTGATTTCTTTGGATACTTCACCTATAGCAACTAAAGTCTGATCGATAAACCAAAAATAAAAGAAAAATAAGCATTTTGTGCAACAACTGTAGTTACACAAGATTAATTAAGATTTGTGATATGGATTAGTATAGATTAGTATATAAATAGATATATACCGGATTATTAGCAGCTACACCGCCATCAACAAGATTGAAAGCCCTCACTTTGCCCTCCGAATCTTTGGTTTCAAAATAATGGGCTGGGAGATAAGTTGGGGCAGCTGAAGTTCCAATGCATATATCAGATAGAAGAGCATCGGTGGATGGATCATTCTTCACCTGAACCGAAAAGTCGTATTGTGAGGGAATTGTTATTTCTCCTGATCAGCGTTGATATGACTCTTTTCAACTTGCAGAGTAAGAAAACAATATTTAGAGACAAATACGAACCTGATAGCTAGAAAAGATGGTGGGCTGGAGGTATTTGATGTCAAAAGTTGGGATCACAACATTTGTCAAGGTCTGATGCAATCGCTTATCTCTTAATTTCTCCTTGACAATGCTATGTAAATATTTGCCATCATATTTTGGCCCGCTGAAAGCCTTGATCAGTTTACCAGCAGCTGCAAATGGAGACCTATTGGAAAAGGAGTATAATTAATTAATATCAAGGATACTGAAATAGATTGAGAAAACAATATTCTTCATGCAAATCTAATTAATTCACTATTATGATGTGATCATCAAAGACTATTACCCATCCTGGTGGAAGATTTTTGGGCTGTTCTTAAGATAGAAGTCATTGATATCTTTGGCAGCAAACAAAGGGCGATTTTGCTCGTTTGGGGCAGTTAGCATGGCAGTGACCAGGCCACCAGTGCTAGTCCCTGAAATCACATCAAAATAGTCCGCGAGTCTTGCATCTTCACCATCCAGCTTCTTCACGTTTACATTAAAAAATGAACGAACATAAAATTATATACTTGAAGTCTTTGAATCAACTACAGACATTTGATTCTTTTTATCATGAACACTAATATTGGAATTGGAACGTGCAAGTAGGTAGCTAATCAAACGAGTTGTGTTAATTAAATGCATATTGGCATGCATGTGGTAATATAAAGTTCAAATAAAAGTCGAAGGTTACAACTTATCACCATGAGCGCGCAAAACAAGTAGGATTTCTACCTGAAGTTCAGACTCCAAGAAGGCAAGGATAGTCCCTGGTATGATCCCTCTTATTCCACCTCCATCAATGCTAAGAACAGTGACTAGGTTTCCATAAGTTGGTGGTTGATGGGGTGATCCCTGAGTTTCCATATGAGCGATAAGATAGGTGCTAAAAAAATTTGGAAAGGAATGACGGGAGAACTAGGATATGGAAGAGATTGCCACCTAGATGGAGAGGCTTAGCTTTAGGTTTTTGACTATCAGGCAGTCCGTACTCAAATCAAATCAATTGGTAACCTTGAGATCTCCAAAAGGCATGTGAAGGTATTTATAGGCTTCAGGACTTCAAAAGTTGGAAGCTTTCAACAGGTTCAAACATCCTACAAATTCAACGCGTCTGAACTTTCCTGGATGGTGGAGTCCCGTTTTAAATGAGTCTAGACTCCAGAGGTTTTCTGTTGCTGTCACTAGTTGCAAGTTGGACCACATGTATACGCACCTGTGGTAAGGGGATCGTAGATTGAGATTCCAAATTGATCAGGAACCATAGAGAATCTCATTTATATTTATTGCGAGTAGTAAGCGGTTAAAAACTCTGAAACTACAGAACGATTTACTTACGAGATTGATAAGATCATGTTTATGCTTTTTATTATTATGTTTTGGGCTGAAGCGAGTGTGTTTGAATGTATGCTTTGTTTCTAGACTTGTTGATGTTGTCAAAATAAGTTTTTAATAAGAATAAATTACCTTTTAATACTTAAATCAATAAATATAAAAAAATAGTATACAAAAACAAAAAACAAAAGACATGAGAAATGCATGTGTGTATCGAATAAACTATTGTGAAGCCTTTGAATGAGCTCAAATTGAACTTTTTTGTTTTACTCTATACCAAATATATTTATAGGTCTCAAACCTGTTAAATGGTATGACAGATATCTTGTGATGAGTGAAGTTGTAAATACCTAATGGTGCATGCAGTTGTTGGTGTCTTGTGGCATGTGGAATTGCACATCAGCTATTAGTTGCTATATAATTGGTGGAGTTGGTACTTTTGCTTCTACACAAATAATTTGGTGTGCATCAATAACATCAATGGGTGGTTTAATATTGCATAAAGCGTGTGTGAAAGGGTGGTGCATGATACTGTTCTAACTTCCTTGAACTAAAAAAAAATACATTAAGATATGTGCTTGAGATAGAGTTAGTATGTTGAGCCTAAAAATTATCGTAGTCAATCCGTTAGGCTTAAATAGTGTTGGGCTAAGGTGTTTGGTTGTGAGCTATACCTAAATGGATGGTCAGGATTCCTAATTGTCTGATTTTATTTTTTTTTGCATATTTTTCATACACAATCTCCTAGATTTGAAAGACTTAACCATCACAAATAAGAGAATAAAAATACATTTATCAAGTTATCTTCTCTCAACTTTTGTTAACATGTTTATAAAATAAGTGAGAGTTTGCCTATAAAAAAGATGAGAGTTCAATAAGTTTTCTTGTCGTAAAGGACACTACTTATTTAGAAAGTGGAGGCTGCTTTGTGATTGTAAAAATATAGTTAATGTACTGTGTATAGATATATTGCATTGATGGAAATTTTAAGTAGAGATATGAAGATTCTGTCATGTAGATTTTATTAAAAACATGAAAAATTCATATAAAAAGATGAAGATTTCAATAAAGATATAAAGATCTTATTATAAAGATTTTATTAAAGACATACAAACTATTTTCAAGATATAGAGAAACATTACTGTTTTTATTCAAAAATTAAAAAATAAATTCTCATGCAAGTGGGGATACATTTTTTAGATATATATTGATTTGGTTAATGCATCACAAAGATTTTTCCCTTTCCTTGTAATTTATTATAAATAACTTCTAGAGATCAATCTTTCAATCTAGCGTTTTAGGGCATGACATTCCTTAGCATCATGATAGTAATCATGGCAAAAATAGTAGAACTTGTTAAAGTTCTTTGTATTCATATTACTTTTTATGGGAAGGAGGTATTTCATAAATTCTAGGTATTTCATAAATTCTTTCCCTTAATAGTAGCAAGTAATTAAGGATATGGTCATGAGCTCAAAACATACCAGGCGAACATCAATATTTACCTTGACTTTTCTTTTGTATTTCTTAGAATTGTTAGGAGATTGATGACATTTTGAAATACATATTTTTTATTGTTAGAAATAAGGATGTTCTCGTTTTATTACGCTAACTTTTTCTATTTAAATGTAATTTTTCATTGTTTATTTCACTTTGAGGATAGTTTGGATGAGAGAATATACAATCAATACCATAAAAAATAGTTGCATACTTCACTAATCAAAGCTTTAATGGTAATGCATTTAAGTAAATTCTCAGTTTTATATACAAATTTTTTATTTTCATTTAGGATTTTTTATATATAAAAACATGTAAAAAAAATTATATACATAATTTTTTTATATATAAAAAAATGCATGGGTCAAATAAGTAGTTGATAACTACTTTTCAGTAACTTCTCACATAACAACCATGCGCTAGCTATTTTATTTTTCTCCTGAACTTCTTACATACACAAATAAACATTACTTTTAACAATGTTGCTATTAATTTCACAATAAAAAAATCGACAGCATCAATGATAAAAGGTTATAATTAGTCCGTAATTAAATGGACTCATTCCCTAGTTACTTTATCTAGTTAATTAACAATACTACTTATTTCTTTTATAGAGAAGTTTTAGTTCAAGTATAAGAAGAATGAATAACAAGATTATGAGATGATAAAAAAAAAAACTCAATAACAAAGAAATAACATTTGTTTATATCAAACAAGGCTTTTGTAAAATATGATATTTAGTTAATGTTTAGTTATTGTCTCAAAATAAATAAACAAATATATATATATATATATAAGAGACAAAATAAAAAAGAAGACAAAGAAAAAATCATGTTAGATAATGCTATACAAGTCCAAGTGATTGTTTCTGTATCATATTTGGTTATAGTGGATAAAACATAATAAAATATGAAAAAATCTATTTACCCTTAATTTGTATTGTTATCAAATTAACATATTTAAAAATAATAATTAGATATTCTTTATTTTATTTTATTTTATTTTATATTGAGTGTTGAAATTGATAATATTATAATAACTCTAGTTATAAAATCATTATCAACTTAAACTTTATCAAAGGTCAAGTTCCTAATCGGTTATGATAATAATTATTTTTATTTATTCATTGACTTGAGTTAACATGTGTTAACTCTTTTGACCTGTTACTTGTGTCTTACCCTGATTAACCTTCTGAGTCAAATTTTAAAATTATGATAATAATAATTTTTATTCTTATATTGACTCAAGTCAACTCAAGTTGAATCTTTTAATCTGTGACCCTAACCTTTTCTCGAGTTGACCCCCGAATCAAGTTGTAAAATTAAGATAACAAGCACTTTTATTTTATGTTGACCCTCCTAAAATATAACTCGGGCTTTACTTTAGGTTGACCCTCAAATAAGGTCTAAAATTATAATAATAACTACTTTTATCCTTACAGTCATTCAGGTTAACGAGCAACCCCACTCATGACAAGGTCTTTATCTCATATCATCCCCAGATCGAGTTTTAAAAGTATAATAATAATCATATTTATTCTTATATTGACTCAAGTCAACTTGACTTTGTGACTTGGGATTTTCTCCGAATTAACTCCCGAATTGAGTTTTAAAACTATGATAATAATCACCTTTATTTTTATATTGACTCGGGTCAACCCAACTTGTGATCCAGGCTTTGCCCTGAATCAACCCCCGAGTTAAATTTAAAAATTATGATAATAATCACTTTTATCCTATACATTTTAGTTGAACAATTTTAGAATTAAAAGTTTTTTATAACGATATTTTAAGAATAAAAAAATAAATATTGTTTCTAGATATATGTCTTACATGTACCTTGTATTTTAAAAATGCTAAAATTCATTCTAAAATTATCCTATAAACATATTTATTTTTATATTTCTATATCTTTAACCAGGCATATTTTTATTTCTATTATTTTTATCTCTAATATTATCCTAGAATAGTTACCAAACACTATCATAAGATACATACATAATCAAGAAAAGCGATATGCATATCTAAAAAAAGATGAAGTCACATAGTTTGAAGTTTGATTGATGAATGAGTTATTATATTTGACTCATTATTTTATATAATTTTTATTAGATTTGAAAATTTAATCTAGTAACATTTCTTTTCTTTTTTAAATGATATAAATATTAAGATATACATGGATTGATTTAATAACATTACATGTGGTACATATTTACTTAATTAAATAACGAAGTCTTATATACAACATGAGATTGTGGATGTATAAAAAAAACAAAATATCTTTGAACATGTATGAATTATTTTATATATTATTGTACTAAGTTTGAATTGAAATGCTGGCATTAAATTGGTAAACTCTTCGTACTAATTGCAAATTTAAATGGCCTCTGGAACAGTATTGATAGCTTAACCTACAATTCGACCACCTTATTAGTGAGTTATCAACTAGAATTGAGTGGACCATATAATTAATTTATTTTGTTTTAATACAATTATAAATCAAGGAAAAAATCAGTGAATAAATAAATAAAAATTGCAATCAAACATAGACACGCAACAGATTAAGGGCTAAGATTTGTCATATGGATCAAGACTCCACATTTTATAATTTTATTTGAACGAAACAAACCTGATGGGCAAGAGTATTAAATAATTAGATAAAACCTTAAGACTAGCATTATTAAGATGGTCTTGACCCTTGGGGATATGCTTAGACCCTGTCTCCGATCCCATTTCTTGCGGAGCATGGAAAAGAATAGTTCTTGCAAGGAAGCTTGTCCGATTTTCTCTCTCCCTGTTTGTTTAATCACCTCTGATGTTACATGCTGATGCTTTCTAATTTCCCCCTCTCTCTTTCTTTGTTTTTCATTTACGTGGAAAGAAGATGTTTTCGTGTGTGTTTGGGGGCAATGGAGCAACAACTGTTTTATAAAATTTTAATTTTTTTATTTTAAATTGTTATTTTTTTTTATTTTTGATGTGAAGATATGAAAATGAATTTTAAAAAATAAAATAATATATACTATTTTAATATATTTCTAAATAAAAAAATACTTTAAAAAATAACTTCTATTATATCTGAAATACCTCATCATATCAACAAAGATATCATCTTCCCATATACTTGTTCTTATCAAGATTTTCAAGTCATCAAGACTCAAAAATACATTAATTTAAGGTTTGGTATTATGGTATTTTTTTATGATTGTGATTTGAAAAAAAGTTATTTTTATTAAAAAAACACTTTTAGTTGAGATTAGTTTGATGAAATATATGTTTGATTAAAATTGTAATTGAAATTGAAGTTAAACAAAAAGTAGTTTAATATGTTTATTTAAGAATATTTTTCAAATTGAGGTTATAAAAAACACTTTTAGTTGAGATTGATTTCAAAAACTATTTTGCAAAGTGAACATTGAAGAATGTCTTCATTGTTCATGGGCTGAACCAAGTTCGACCCAAATCTAAATACATTGGATGTGGTCCGACCCAGTAAAATAAAAAAAATTCAACAAAATTTTTCAGATATTGTGTTTTATTCAAAAAAAATAATATTCAACATTATTTCATGGAACTACATAATTACATTAGAAGGGGATCGCATAATGACGTAATATTTACAGAATTTGATCGCAATCTCAATTTTATTCCTGATGATATTTTACCTGAAGTTATTGCTCGCCCAGGAAGCTATGAAATTATAGTTCTTGTCAGATGGAATTCGTATGTGATGGAATTATAGATAGTTTAATAAAAAATAAAAAATATTTTATATAAAGTATTATTTATTTTATGATATAATAGAAGTATTTAAATCTATAATATTTCAATTAAAAACTATTAATATTAATATATGTCTATTTTAGTTATTTTATAACTTCAAGTTGAAAAATATTTTTACCGAAACACATTAAATCACCTTTAATTCAATCTCACTTGCAACCACAATTTTAACTATACATATATTTTATTAAATCAACCTCAACTAAAAATATTTTTTATAAAATAATTTTTTTCAAACCACAATTATAAAAATTATCACAGTATCAACACACCCCTTCAATTTCATGTGGAACACACAATAATAAATATGATTAATATCTATCCAAATACTTATAAATAATATTTTACTGTAAATACAGTTGTAATGTATACCAAACCACGATTAAAATCGAGAGAGAGAGAGAGAGGGTACGGTTTATACGAAGACAAATAAGCCTTAAAAATCCGGCTGAATATCAAACCATATATCAGACTTGTAGGTTTCGTCCTTAAAACTGGGCCAGTGCAGAATAACCTTTTCTTATGTTATGGGCTGAACAAGCCTAATTCTGATTTTCTAGCCCATTAATTGCAAAATATGGGCCTGACAAAAACCTGCAAATATTGAAGTCGCAAGCCCATCTAGTTTCAGGGCCTAATACCCAAGAATATTTAATTATTTAACCTTTCAAGGGCATTGGAGCAAAATCCCCTCTAACAAGTTCACAATTTCCTTTCCGTTTTTTTTCTTTTTTTCTTTTTTTTTCCCTGATAAATAGCAGTGAGACTACAAATTAGCAGCCCCTATCTTGCTCAGAAAGAAAACCTCAACAATCTGTGTTTGGCTAGAGAGAAAGAAACCAAGAAAGTTAAATAATAATAATAATGTCAGGTATGGAGAGACTGCAAAGAATGTTTGCAGGTGCAGGAGGCGGGCTGGGTCATCCACCACCAGATTCTCCTACTCTCGATTCCTCCGAGCAGGTCTACATCTCCTCTCTTGCCCTCCTCAAGATGCTTAAGCACGGTACGGTTTTCTAAAATCCACAACCTACTTATTCAATTTTAGGGTTTTGTTGTTGTATGTAAATCCGAGTTGGAACCCTGAATTAGGATTTTGGATTTACTTATTTTTAATGAATTTAAGAATTGGGTTATTTTGTGTTTGATTTTGGTGGATGCTGATAATAGGGAGAGCTGGGGTACCGATGGAGGTGATGGGTTTGATGCTTGGAGAGTTTGTGGATGAATATACAGTTCGTGTTGTCGATGTATTCGCAATGCCACAAAGTGGTACTGGTGTGAGTGTTGAAGCTGTTGATCATGTGTTCCAGACTAATATGCTTGACATGCTTAAACAGACTGGAAGGTATTATTTTCTTTTTCTGTCAAGTTGAATTTGATGAAAATCATGTGTTGGTTTTTGGGTATAGTTCCGCTAATGACTTTTTTTATTCTTTGTTTGGTGTTGCAGACCGGAGATGGTTGTGGGGTGGTACCATTCACATCCTGGATTTGGCTGTTGGCTCTCTGGTGTTGATATAAATACCCAGCAGGTTTTGCTTTGTGTTTATGCTTATGGTCTTGGTATTGATATTCTTAATGGTTGGTGTCATCGGTGAACTTTTCATTGATGTTACAGGTTGTCAAAAGGTTTTGCTTTGTGTTTATGCTTATGATCTTGGTATTGATATTCTTAATGGTTGGTGTCATCGGTGAACTTTTCATTGATGTTACAGGTTGTCAAAAGGTTTTGCTTTGTGTTTATGCTTATGATCTTGGTATTGATATTCTTAATGGTTGGTGTCATCAGTGAACTTTTAATTGATGTTACAGGTTGTCAAAAAATGGATTGCTAGATTTAGTCGTTCAGTGATTATGATTAGTTTCTTGTGTGTGTCTGGGCTTTTGAGTAGGCAATAGGATTGCGTTACCTTCTGAATTCTCCCTCACTTGGGACTACTGCCTGAAATAGGACAGTTTGGTGACAAAAGTCTAATGTGGACAGTGACTGCATGGGTCAGAAAAAACACCCTTTGAATGATGCTGTTGGACATGGATATAAATGGACTGAGGACTCTTGATTTGGGGAGTGCCATTGTGACCTAGAAGACTAATAACACTTCCAACGTTTAATTTTTTATCCTCCCAAATGTTGATAGAATGCTAACTCCTCCTCCATCCCATCTAGAAATCTTGTGTAATTTCACCTTTTTTAAATAGATGCTATGAATCTTAATGCCCCTGTCTTCTCCACTGTTTTATGGATGTATGCATGTCAAATTTTTCCACAAATCAGAACAAAGTTATGGTGTCTTTCTCTTACAATTCTCCTTATCCTCTTATATTATTTTGATGAAATTTAGTTTTGCCACCATTCTAAGATTGTATTGATTGAGGGAAGGGTTTGTAATTGCTATGTCTTGTATTTGACTGTTGTTTGTTTCAGTAATTGTTATTGCTTGTTGCTGCTAGAGTTGACTGTTCTATTGTGTTTGATATTCAGAGTTTTGAAGCTTTGAATCAACGTGCTGTGGCAGTGGTGGTGGATCCAATTCAGAGTGTTAAAGGAAAGGTGGTAATTGATGCCTTTCGTTTTATTACCCAACAAACAATGATGCTTGGCCAAGAACCGCGGCAGACAACTTCCAATCTTGGGCATCTGAATAAGCCATCCATTCAAGTGAGTGCATGTCAAAAGTGATTTTTTTTTTTCAGCAAACTATTTTTCTGTTGCATCAAGATTTAACATGGTTCACTTGAAAACTTTCAGGCTTTGATCCATGGATTGAACAGACATTACTACTCCATAGCCATTAATTACAGAAAGAATGAACTTGAGGAAAAGATGCTTCTTAACCTGCACAAGAAGAAATGGACAGATGGTTTGACACTTAGGCGGTTTGATACTCATTCAAAAACCAACGAGCAGACTGTTCAGGTGAACAGATGTTACTGGAGTTCCCTTAATCTCTTTTGTGTTGTTTTCATTCTGTCTCTTAATTGTGTGAGAGGGTTTTCATGATATTTCAGTGTCCTATTCATGAACTCCCATGTTGGATCTAGTTCAGTGTCATTACTCATCCAGCACTAAGGCAATGCCTTTTGTGCGTTCATAGTTTGTCATCTCTCATCTTGCATAGTGTTCCGTTACTCATCCTCCAACATTAGAAAAATTGCATCCCGAGAAACGGGCTGGGGATGGGGCTCTAATTCTGACAGGCTAGCTGAATCTCTGGTAACTGCCATCTTATCATTAAGGCAATGCCATTTGCCTGTTTCTTCTCTGCTAGGTATTAGGTGCATACAGTAATATCCATTTTTGCAGTGCTATCGTGATTGATCTTGAAATGTCTTGAAATCTGCAGGAAATGCTAAGCTTAGCTATTAAATACAACAAGGCAGTGCAAGAGGAAGATGAGCTGCCACCTGAAAAGCTGGCAATTGCAAATGTAGGAAGGCAAGATGCGAAGAAACACCTTGAAGAACATGTCTCAAATTTGATGTCCTCCAACATAGTTCAGACATTGGGCACTATGCTTGACACTGTTGTGTTCTAGACCTGACTTTATGTCAGTCTGTACTCTGTTTCAAGTAGAACGATCTTGATTCATAATTTACTTTTACATTTCCTTTCCTTTCATTGTTTGTTATGTTGTACTGGACTGGTTGTCATGATGGATACTTGGAAGACAGTTCAATCACTGGGATCAATAGTCATTTTATTATCTGCGTCATGATGTTAGATTATGGGGTGCTCCGCTGTGCCTGTGTCTGCATGCATGGTTCAGACATTGGGCTCTATGCTTGACACTGTTGTGCTCTAGACCTGACTCTACGTCATTCTTTACTCTGTTTCAAGTAGAACGATCCTGATTCATAATTTACTTTTACATTTCCTTTCCTTTCATTGTTTGTTATGTTGTACTGGACTAGTTGTCATGGTGGATACTTCGAAGACAGTTCAATCACGGGGATCAATAGTCATTTTATTATCTGCTTCATGATGTTAGATTATGGGGTGCTCCGCTGTGCCTGTGTCTGCATGCTGATGTTTGATTAATTTGTTGTGGAAGTTATAATTAGGTAATCTAACACCGGTAATGTTGACCACGTACGACAACCTGGGTTTGAAGATTGGATGACCACTATCTAGTGATATCCTAGTAATGCAGACCCCTTCGACAACTTGGGTTTGACTGGATGACCGCTCAAAGCATGTCCAGCCTTGAGCTTTCTTCTCCTCCTTTTGAAGTGATCCTACAAATGAATGCATGGTCAGTTGTTCAATTTTCTAAATTATCATGTCTCTTGGAGGCGGGTTGCCGTTCTTTCTTGGTACTCGTGGGCTTGCTGGCTCTTATGTTGAGCAAAGAGCTTAGGGTTGCAGTTGGGGAAAGATTTGAGCTCACAAAATTTTTGAATGTTTTTGAATAGTTGGAGAGAGAATGTGGTGTTCCTCTCAAGAAAAATCTTCCAAGTTGAAGTTCTTGGTTTTTAAATAATAGCTTACCTATGTTGACAATTTAAAGTTTACATATTTCCTTTCATGTGATGGTTAATAACTGTTTCTTTCATCAATTTTGTATGATGAAATTCGGGACTGTGGCGATGATTTGGCCATGGGAAAGTAAATACATGGAATTTTTTCCCTTTGTTTGAACTTTTCAGTTGGTAGATTATTTCCTTAACTGGGTGGATACTATTTGCTCGTTGACATGATGGGTGCTCTAATTTGATTGCGCGGTGTTTGTAAAAAATAATGTTCTGAGAACTTGTAGTGACGGGATGAAGATCCAACATTAAATATATGGGGTTGAAAGAGGGGGACTCTCGGTGCTGCTTAATCTGTAAACTACAAACGTGACAGGTATCTTTATAACCCAGAAGGTGCTATGCTGATTGTTTGATGCCTGTCTGCTACGAATGAATTGCTTATTGTTATAGAAAAACTTGAAAGGATCAGATTTTGTGGACAACAAAATTGTGAATGATGCATCTGGTCTCAAAATTTAGTCTTTTGTAAAGTTTGTCTCAAAGAAAGAAACTGGTCTAATAAGTGTTGGCGTATCAACAATGGTTTCTTCCCTGATTTCCGCACATGTCTCTCTCTCTCTGTGAGTGTGGTGTGTGTACACACACACGATTGAACTGCCTAGCTCTTCCTTTTGTTAATAAGAGGGAGGGTTTTGGTTTAGAGCCACGGGCAAGCTCACCGAGGGGTCCGCTTTACAGGAGAAGGTGCTAATTGTTTCTCTTGCTGGTAGGTTAACTAGTTTTTCCAATCATTGTCATCGTTGCCGTCATCCTTTTGTTGAGCAGCCTTCGGGGTTACAAACAATTCTCCTGTTTTCGGAGAGTATACCCAGGAAAAGCTCTCTGTGAAAATAAAGGGTTTATGCCTCAACTTTTCCATGGCTCTGCTTCGAATTTCTGAAACAATAACCTGAAGAAGGAAAACACACTCAGATTAGCAAGAATAGAAAGAAAGAACATGATTTTCTATTCTTTTCCTTTTTTCCTGGGAGGGAGGGTTAGAGCATGAATTTTTCAATGGTGAAAAGTGAGTACTTCCTGCTCGTCATCAACGTCAGCAGTTGGAAACTCTTCCTTCGGGCTTGAAGTTGAAATCCGTCCACCACAAGTATTGCAATTAGAAAACACATCCTTCAAAGTTGCAGCAAGGAACTTGCATTTCTTAGAAGGATTTGGTGCCTCTTCATGGTGAAAGACGCCCATGTTGAGAAGACAAAGTTTGGTGGTATTTCCAACTTTAATGGTATGGGACAAAATATATACAGCACTAGCATTTATAAGTCATAGTTTGTGTTGATGTCCACATTGACTTGCTCCTGTGATAGTGGCCTCGCATCTTACTGACAGCAGTGGCTTTCGATCCTTTGGGGTAAAGACGAAGATAAAAAAGTTGAAAGACGTATTAGCAAATTACTCAAAAGTCCCACTTTAATTTCCCACTAGCGAGGTGCACGCGTGACGTGGCGGGGAACTTTTCACCGACGTTGTTGGATTGTTAACTCGTCAATCTAACCTGCGCACCAGGCCAGGTTTTAAAGTAAATTGGATGGAAATTACGCATTATGTGTTTTTGTATTTTAAAAAAAAATTGAAAACTTTTTATTTTTTTTTATTTTTAATTAATATTTTTTATATTTTTAGATCATAAACTAATTTTAAAAATAATTTTTAAAAAATAAAAAAAATATTATTTTAATATATTTATTAAATAAAAAACACTTTAAAAAACAACCATAACTATATTTTTAAATAAGTTATAGTCTCTTTAGCTATTTTTACTTGGATCAAGTTTGGTTATTTAAAATAAAATATTGAAAACTATATTGATTTATTAATTTTTAAAATATTCATTATTTATGTTTTGAATTTACTTAAATTAAACTAAGTTAATCCATACCCTAAATGATGATCTTGATTATGTTAAATAATCTTGCTTTGTGGAAATTATTTTTTATTTAATTAAATAATTATAAAAATAAATATTTATATAAATAATAATGAATTAAATTACCAAGAAAAAATATATTTAATTTAAATTATATATTTTATTAATGCATTTTTTTTATTATTTTAACAAAAGAATTTTTTTTAATCATAAGCATTTTTTTTAAATTAAAATCTATCATAATAGAAAAATTTAAAAACAAAATATTAGAATAATTATTTTAATAAAAAAAACTTTAAAAAACAAAGTAATAGAAAAGGATCAATCATTTGTGTTAAAGAAACTTCACTCGCACACTTGGCTCAAAAAAAATCTCGTGCACGTGGGCTTTGCAAGGCTAGGATCGTGACTTGATATCTGTTTTTTTTGTGTGGCTAGAGAGCAAATGATTTTTTTAAAAATAAAAAAAATAAATAACATGTTATTCACCTATTCAATATTTGATGATTAAAAAAATCATGGAAAAAATAAATTTAATTTTTCAAAATATTAAAAATTATTTTAAATTTATTTTCATTTAAAAACACTCTCTAAATTTTAATAAATTTATTTATCAATTTAAAACACCTCTAAATCAGTTAAATAACACAAAATTAAATCAAAGACAAAAAAAATTCTCAACTCTAATATATTTTTTGTAGTAATATCAAAGCTAAAAAAGCACACTCGTCTCATGAAGAAAAATCCAGTAACACTAAATTTAACCTTTTATATCAATAAAAAATAACAAATTATTATTTTCTTTTTCTTACATTATAGTTTAACGAATCTCCTTCTCTTTTCACATATTTAAAGTTTAAAATGTAAATAAAATAAAGTTTGAAACAATCCGTTAAAATCTTACACTAAATAGACAAAAATAAAATTGAAAACTTTTTTAGGGTAAGATCTTTTAAAAGATGCACATTCAATAATAATAAAAAAAAATAACTCTATAATCTTTAAAAAAATATTTTAACTAGTCAGACTTTGAATTTGCTTTTTAGAGACCACCTGTTTGAGTGTCATAAATCTCAAGGCAACCAAAGACTTACATGATTGTTACTTTCAGGATCTTGAGAGATTAATCGAGATCGTTATCAGTTCGAGTACCATAAATCTTAAGATAACTGAAGACTTATATAATTGTTACCTTTAAGATCTTGAAGAATTAGTTAAGATGTATGTGGGTTGTCTTGAACATTTATGATTATAAAAAATTACTTTATAATTTTTTTTCTTGTCAAATTTAATTCTCAAAATTATTTTTTTTTAGCTAACAATAAAACTTTTTTTTTTTGGTATAAAATTGGTTATCAACATGATACGAGGATGTTTTTTTTATATCTCGATAACTCTATATGTATACATAACAGCCCAATTCTAATAGTAACATGGAATGGTGAATTTAAAGAAAAAAAAACTAGTGACCAAAAAAAATCAAAAAAAAAAAAATAGGGAGAGAGAGTGAAAGTGTGAAACACCATACGAGTCCATGGTCAATTCTATCTTGGTCCACGGTGTTTCAACTGCGAAACAATGATCTCTCACGGGGGCCCTCAATCGTCAATTCACGTAAGCCATGTCTTAAAAGAGTGTTAATCATGTCGTTTTTAAGTAAACACTTCAAGCAGAAGTCAAAGTGAAGGAGGACATGGCACCAAATCGTGAACGCAATTTATTTGATTAATAAATGAGAAGAGAATGATGTCCCGCCGTACAAGTTATTAAAGGTAAACAGAAACGACCATTGAATTTATTTTTGTGGAACAGAAGCTAGGAACAAAACTCGGATTTGTTCCGAATTCTATATTAAGTTAAAAGAATACTAAAACGCAATTAATTAGGCGTATGGAATTTAATGAGCTGGTGGAAAATGGTATGGCAAGCTTAAAAGTAGATTTCCTCTTCTCCAACTTGAGCATGAAAGTACCCTGAGCACGAAAGTAGATGGGGGTGTTTGAGAAAAGGTGGTGTTTTGTTTTTTTAAATTTTTTTTTAAATTTAGAAATGTATTAAAATAATCTGAAAATACTAAAAAAATTAATTTAAAACAAATAAATTTTTTAATTTTTTTAAAATATTTTTAAAATACAAAAATAAACAGAATTTAACCCGTTACAAACTGTTTGTAAGAAATAAATAGAAGAGAACAGAATTACAGGCAAATATGAAACTGCAAGAAATGGGAGTGTGTTTGCAATCTTCATCCACAGCGAGCAGGACTAGAACCAGAAGCAACCATTAAGAATCCGAGTTCTTTTTTGATCATGATAAATGTATTGCAGACAGCCTAGCCGGGCCCAGATTCGCCACTTAGACAGGGTTGTTGAACTGATGTGAGATCATATTCACGCCAATAAGGGCAACTCATGGCTAATGTAAAAGGTAAAGCAGTTGAATTGACAAACTAGATGGTAAAGTGTAGAAACTGGTGCAGATACCACCATCAGAGGACGATCTTTTAACCTGCAGACAAAGTCTCCAAACACCGCATTTCACCTGCTTTCAGCATGACAAAATGGAAAACTGTCCCATGCTGCTACATCTACATCAAAGACGAATTTCCTTTTGGTGTTATCAAATATAATTGATTCTTTACTCACAGAAAAAAATCTTCTCAGCTTGCATCCAAAAGTTTCAGGCAACCAAACCCTGCAGAGATTTGGAACTCGAATTTGGCAGGGTTTTTGAACTAACGTGTGATAATGTTCACAACAACAAGAGCAACCACAAAGCAATGTGAGAGCATAGTAGAATTGACGAATGCATATACTGGAGCAGATGCCGCCTCAAAAAAGTAAAAAATTGTCATCTTTCAACCTCACACAAACCCTCCAAAACGCACAACTTGCCACCTTCTAGCAGTGAACAGATGGGGAATCTGTCTGATGTTGCTACACCTACATCAGAGATGATTTTCTTTCTTGTGTAACCAAATATAAAGGATTGTTCACTCTCAGAAACAAATATCAGATCCTAAAGAGTCATGATCATCTAACACAACTGTACATTTGATCAGTTGCATATATAGAACAATTTCACAGCGAATTCAACGTCTGATCCTGATGCTAAAACCACTGATTAGCTAAGAGCAAGTAAGGAGACCATATCAGAAGGGTTAAAAAAAGGGTCATCTAACTTCATCCTTTCGACACACAGAAGTTGAAATCATAGATATAAGATGATAATAGTATGGCCAAAGGAGTTAATCTAACTTCTAGGATAGAATATTTAAAGCAAACGCAGCAGATCAACAATAAAATTTACGAAAGAACGTCAAAATCATGAATTTAGACAAAAACTACTTTAATACCCAACATCAAATTGTAGCAAAATCAAAATGAAACCAAAGGAGTAAAGCTTACAAAAAATGAAAGAGTCAAGTGGAGTTTCTTCGAAGTAAGAGAAATAAGAGACCGCAGCTTTACAACAGCAGAGGTTTTATCAGGAGGACATTTCGAGAGAGAGACCTTCAAATATTGGAGAGCCTCGTCAAGTTTCCCAGCAGCCAAGGCTGCAAAGCCTGCCATGTAAGTCCCATCTGCCATTTTAGCATCATATTGAGGATTTGCACCCGAATCGGAGCTCATGTTAGTCTTTACTATGTGGGTTGAGGTTGGTGATGGCGAGTCGAGAAGGGCTGTGGCACGGCTGTACTCCAATTCATTAATAGCAGTCTCGATTTCAGACATGAGAGTTTCTGGGTTTGATGAGGCCACGTTTCTCACTCCCTCAAACACGCTCCAGTGAGTGTTCCCTTCATCAGAACCCATCTATCTTCCGCTAAGCAACCATAGATGATGTTCGTCCTGTCTCTGTTTTGGTTTGAAATGTTTGCTTCCCCTGTTCCGATCGCAATAGGAGGGGAGGCTTCTTGGTTCCATTTCACTGCTCTTACAGGTATCGAGAGGATACATGTTAGTAAGCAGCAAGGCAGCAGCTTTTAGACTTGAAATTTGTAAAAATAAAATAAAGTGAATATAAATAACAAAGCGAGTGTTTCAACTAATTGGATTGGATTTTTATCTGCATCATCTCTGTATGTAATAATAAATATAAGAAGTACAATGAGATTGTACAACTATTATCGAACTGTAAGCTTGTCATAATCAGAAAAAACCTAAACTGTCTTTGATTTGGGCAAATGAGTATTAACTAAGTAAGTGCATGCTCTAACACCCCTCTGTAAATTCATGGGTGATTGGCAAACCATGAGTTTGAACCTTAGAAATTGAAACTGAGTTGCAGGCTGCCCTTTGGTAAAACGATGAACCCAACTAACCCTACCTGACTAGAACATCTTTATTAACTACCTTCTCTCTAACAACA